GCATGGTGCAAAGGATGGGGGGATCCCTACTGACTTTAATGTAGTGTGGGTATGTCATTGGAAACACCCTGTTCTCACGGGCATCTTTATCTGTGGATTATTATGACGATGATTTCCTCTGAAGCTGTACTGTTTAAAGTGTTGCTCCTGCCCTGGATAAAGCAGGGGATGCAGAGAATAGAAAATAGCAACAAGGCAGTGTCACACAGCTAGGACTTAGGCGTTTCTCTTAAGGAACTATACTTTAGGTAAATGATTAAGAAAAACAATAGACTTCCAGAAGTTAGCTCACATTCTTTCTGACGTTGGGAAATGTGGTCATGGGTTTTGGAGTGCATCATATCTAAAACAATGCTTTAAACAATTGACTTTATGTAAATAGAAAACAAAGAATTGGATGGTTCATTCAGATAATTGGACTGGACTCTAAAATACGAAAACTGAAAATAAGAAGCCTGTTTTCTGTCAATTATAAAACCACAGCCTATGTAGCCTATGTAATTGGTTATGGCTGAAAGGCCCCTGATCTATGAGAAGTCCTGTTTTCCACCTGTAATAGTAAAATGTTTAAACAAAGGACATAGAAAACATGGAGGGCTTTTTGTTGTTGTTGTTTGTTTTACTTGTATTCATTTTATTTTTATTTTAGAGACACTCTTATTTACATATCCATCCCCCATTCCCTCGTCCTCCCATCCTCCCATGCTTCCTGCCAAACCCCCAACCCACACTCTACCCACTTCCCAGGGACAGTGAGACCCTCCAAGAAGGATCTTCAAGTCCATCACATCATTTGGGGGATGGCCCAGGCCTTCCTTCCCATATCTGGGCTGTGATAGTGTATTCATTTTAATCATCCACTTGGAAAATAGAACATAATCACATTGCAATTTTCATATTGCTTGAAAAATTTTGCTCGGTTCTATGAGCTATAATGGACAGAAGGGATACATCTGGATAGAGATTAGAAAAGAAGTAGATGTGAAAGAGATGATAAAATGACCTTAAAGTAAGTGTACATGTGTTCAAGACTGTGTGTGTACATTTGTGTGTGTGTGTGTGTGTGTGTGTGTGTGTGTGTACATGTTTCCCTTTTTCACCGGCCCCAGAGATAAATTTTACCTTACTCACCAGCCCCAAAGAATTAAGTTTTACTCCCTCAGACAGAAAAAGTCAAATTGTGTAGTGATATAGTTGCCTCTGTACCTGTAGCAGTGACCATGCCTTTTGGTTAGAGGGAAGGATCCGGGCTCTGAAGACCACCTTTGGGTCGCCAAGAGCATCTGTGAGACAGTGTCTGCATCCTTGGCGAAGGAACGCTGCTACAGTGAGTCACTTGTTTTCTGTGTAAGTTCTTTCTCCAAATAAACACATTCTACCAGGTCTGGTTAATTCATTACAACCCACCTCTAAAATTGAGTGATTACTCCTCTGATTCCATGGGTCCTGCTCAACTCCTAAACTGCAGAAGGCCAGTCCTCAAAGCAGCAGCAACAAAACAATAACAAAGTCAAAACTAGAGACTGGTAGAAAGGGCTTGCCTACCTTTGGAAAAGCCCTGGATTAAATTTGCAGCACTACAAAAATAATAATGACAAGTATAAATGTTTTAACATCATTGCTGATTATCAACTTTATTTCAAATTCATATAATGTTTGTAACATAGAAACTACTAAACATTTTGCAACTGGGATACCATTGGTGAAATTTATATTAGACAGAGCAGAGGTTGTCAATACCCATTACATTTTCATTAGTTACTCTTTTAAATATTAATCCATTTCAAACAATGAAAGGAACCCTCTAGCTCTAGCAATTTAGCTTCTCTGTAGTGAAAGGACCAAAGTTAATGTCAATTCAAATAAAAAGGAGTGCTTTCTGGTCAGAAAGTGAAGTTTATGTGGAAATGTGAACACAATTTACAGAACCAGTGTATAAGAATATCCTTTGGGTCATTTCTTCTGATTGCCGATAATGAATGTTTAAATGCAGAAAGGCTTCAATGGATAGAAAATCACCTAAATCCTTGGTTCTCAAATTGCTTCTTCCTTCAGTCCTACTGCTAGCTCACATTCTCAAGTGTGGTAGTAATTCAAGGAAAGCATTTATATGTTACTTGAAAATGAGAAAATTCTAAACTTGTTTAGTTTAGACAGGATTATCTTAAAGTGGAAACACACACACACACACACACACACTAAACAAAACAAAAACCTGAAGGATGAGAGAACTGTTGATTATAAGAATCATTTTCATAAAGCAATCACAAGCTACCACGAAATCTCATAAAGCAAACATGTACAAGTAAGAGTGCAGGGGTGTGTGAGGTTAAGGTAGTTCTTAGTGTTTAGGCATCTGTACTGGCCTGTCCATGGAGTTCTGACAGGATACATCCTCAGCTGCAGCCACTAAGAGCAGCATCTGTGCACAATCACAATTTTCTATTTTAAAAGGGTCTTGCCTATTTCCTATCCCTCCCCCCAATCTCTCTCTGTCTGTCTCTCTCCACCTCTCTTCCCGTTTTCTCTCTCCTCTCTACCCTACTGCTCTTGTCTCCAGAAGCTGGTCTCCCCCCTTCCCTTTTCCATTGTTATGATCCCTTCCCCCAAAAAATAATACCTTGAACCCCATTGCATGGTGTCTTTCTCTTACTTGGTGCTTTTCTTAAATTACAACAGTAGTCCCAGCCACACCTTCATGTCTGCATGTATACATCCAAACCTCAACTGTTTTCTTGTTTACAAACAGATGGAAAGGAGACAGGTCAGTAAGGTGCCTAGTGCCTATTGTACAAGCACAAGAACCTGGGTTCAGATCTCTGTCACCCATACAATAAACCAGATGTTGGTTTTACGCTTGTACTTTCAGCACTAGAGAGTGAAGAGAAGATTCTTAATGAGAAAACCTGATCCAGCTCTACATTCACTGAGAAAATTGTGCAAAAACAGAGGAAGGACTTGTGACAAGGGAAACACCTTTCATATACATTTCACTTCAATAGAAAAATCCACAGACACATATTGACACACATGAACATATACCATACACATACACACAAAAAAGTGGAAGAGTGGTCATATACATTTAAAGGTGACTTATAATGTTAGTATTCTTCAGCAATTTTCCATTATAAATAATGCTACTATGAACATAGTCGAGCAAATGTCCTTGTAGTATAATTGAACATCCTTTAGATATATGACCAAGAGTGGTAATGCTTGGTCTTGAGGTAGATTGATTCCCAATTTTCTGAGAAACTATCTTACTTTGTTGACTCTCTATGGGAAGCCTTAACCTTTCTGAGGAATGGATGGGGGTGGGTTTACGGAAAGTGGAGGAAAGGGGAAGGAGGAGATGGAGAGGGAACTATGGTTAGTCAGTAAAATGAATAAAAAATAGTCCTCAGCCCAGGTTAACTACAAATGTGAAAAATTGAACGAAAGAAATTTAAAATATTTTATTACATAAAAAATCTTGCTTAGTGTTAAATTATGGTTACTTTTGTATATAGAAAGTATGTTAAAAACTCACTGTTGGGGTTACATTTTAGATTACTTCTTCAGAGTGAGATAATTGTAAAGGGATGGTCTTGTTATGTGACTCAGTGTTTTTCTATTGCATGATTGATTCATAATTTTGCTATGTTGCCAAATAGCGAAGGGAAAATCCCAGCTCATAATGCTTCTGTCTCAGTTTAACAAGGGATTGGATCATAGGCATGAACTACCTTATGCAGTCCTTTACATTTAAAAGTGATACCTGAAGTAAATTAGATGGAGCTGCCATGCGTTCCAAAGGCCAGCTACAAACCAGTTGTACATAAGAGAGCTAAATGTCATCCTAAATTAGTTATATTTTTTCAGTTGCCTTTCAATATTGCTATAGTCTCGTTTATCAATGTTGATCTCATCATCTTAGAAGTATCTTCTTTTTTCACATATGAGAGAATAATCTTGTGCAGAATCCTTCTGATGTGTTTTATGTAATCTAAGATTCCCCAAAACACTATCCTGGTCAAATTTGGCCACGCTGTTGAAATTCTGCAGTATCATAATCATAATTCATCAGAATCCTGAAAATAATATTCAAGAAAAATAATTTTAAAATGCATTATATGTTTTTTTAAATGATTTATTTGGGACACATAAAAAGTTACAAAGCAGTTTGGGTCGCTTCATAAAATAATACTGCCAATATTAATGTATATATTTTGAAGTATTATTAGGTATACTCTTCACAATATCATATGAAAAACAATAGTAGGCAGATTAACTAAATTCAAAAGTCAAAAACTAAGTTTTGGTAGTCATTATTAGGATTGTTAATTATTTTTTAATTGTGATTTAAACCTTTTTGTCCATGTTTATGAGTGTGTGTGTGTGTGTGTGTGTGTGTGTGTGTGTGGTTGACAATGGAGGATACAACAGGGCACTGGATTTCCTGAAGCTGTAATTACAGGTACATATGAGCTGTTCAACATCGGTAATGTGAATCAAGCTCTAGTCCTCAGAAAGACTATAAAACAAAGTTTTCAGCCATTTAAAGAGCCATAGTGATTGTTAATTAGGTCTACTAAGCTTTATTTCTGTATTCATCTGAAATACCAGGATGGAAATGTGTGTCCTTAGGTGATGTAGAAAAAACCATGGATGACACAGTACATGTATACAAGGTCACCCAAAGAGCAGAGATTGTGAAAATTTTTTATAAAACTCATAAACAAAACACCTATAATGCCAACCTTTTATTGCGACAGCTGTGACTGCCTTTGTATATGCAGTGATTTTTGTTATAATGTACTTTTGTGGAATCCAATCAGGAATAATTTCAAGAAACCTGATGAAACTGGGAAAATACTTTTCATAATATGTTGTTCTAATGCTAGAAGATATGTAAAGAACTAATATGAAGTATAATGAATTTTAAAAATTTAAATCAAAAATAGAAATTTAGAATGCTAAATTTAAATTAATATAACTCAATTAACAAAGCTAAAAAGGCCACTCTATTAAAAAGTTTATTATAGGATTAAACAATCAACAATCTCTCTTAACTCTTTCAAAAGAATGTAGCTGACCTTTTATTACCTACATTTTGAAGTAGTGTCTCATAAGAAATAGGTTACTTCTTATCAAGGCATGGCTAACATCTACATCTTCTAAGTTGATGCTTTTCACAATTTAAAGTACATTAATAGAAACTTTTTCAATTAAATGCCTCCAGCTTCAATAATGCATCCATGTGTCTTTGAGTATCCAGAGATTCACCTGAAGCTTACATACGTAACTCAGATATTTGAAGGAAGCAGCACTGATAGACAATCAGGCCATTGCAGAAATGTCTTCATTTTTCATGTTGTTATTGTTTTCTTGCTGTTGTTTTCATTTGTATTAGTTCTTGAGAATTTTACACAAAGTGTTTGGATCATATTTCCCTTTCTCACACAATTCCCAGTTTCATATACCCTTCCAACCCAATCAATTTTGTATTCTCTCTCTCTCTCTCTCTCTCTCTCTCTCTCTCTCTCTCTCTCTCTCTCTCTCTCTCTCTCTTTCTCTCTCTGTCTGTCTCTCTCCATCAAGCCCAATTTACAGTGTCCATGTAGTTTTGGGATGTGTAGCTTTCACTGGAGGTCCTGTACCTCACATTAATGGTTTTAGTTTTAACTTATAAGCAAATGAATGGGGAATATTAATAAATTCCTGTATCTTAACTAAATGGTTCATTCTTTTGATTCACTGTAAATCCAATGCACACTTTTATTAACATATTTATATTATTTGGGGGATATCCAATGAACTTTATTGACAGTGTTCAAAAGAGTAGAACTACCTAAATTTCTTCTATTCCATTGCGGATCTGCTCTGAGATGAAAATTGTAAGGAGTATGCTTGGGTTGCAGGCTAAGTTGGCACAGGTGTGGCCCCCCACAGCTGCCAGCCTCCCTCTTCTTGTTGCTGGGGTAGGTAATCCAGGGATTCTTACTACTTAGAGGTCATGCAAGCCATGAGCTCCACCATCGGGCTGCTGTTCCCATATTCATTGCCATAACAGGAGATGAGTTTGACAAAGTTGTCATTGAGATCAAGGTCAGCTACTTTATCAAAGGTGAAATATTGAATGTTACTGCTAAAGTCACAGGAGAGAACCTTGTTATCAGTATAGACCAGAAAGCCTTTTAGTGGGCCCTCTAATGCCTGCTCTGTCACATAACTGATGTCACCAGCAGCTTTCTCCAGGCATCATGTCAATCCATGGCAGACACATTGGTGATGGAACAGGAAAGGCCATGCCAATGAGCTTCCAGTTTACCTCTGGGATGACTTGTTCACAGTCTTGGCCGGACCAGTGGATGTAGGGACAATGTTCTGATAATTTCTAGGCTCACTACTCCTCAACGTTCCAGGGGGACCATTCACATTTTTTTGGGTGGCAGTGGTGGCATGGACTATGACCATGAATCCCTCTGTGATGCAATAGTTGTCACTGATAACCTTGACCAGAGGCACTATGTAGTTGTTGGTGAAGGAGGAATTTCGGGCAATTTTGAGTTATTTGTCACACTTCTGTGGTTCAGACACATCACAAACATGGAGGCATCAGCAAAAGTGGCAGAGGACCCTTTTGTCCTCTGCCCTTCCAGAGTTCTAAGCCTTCTCCATTGTGCTGAAGGTACCCATAAATAAACTCTACAACATACCAGCATCACCTGATTAGAAGTTAACAGGTCTTGCTCCTAGATGATGGAGGAGGTCATCCCACTGATAACAAGTTTCTCTGTCTTGGCAGTGTTGTGGAGCTTGTCATGAGTCACACTAACAGACTCTCTAATTTAGGTCAATGAAGGCCTCATAATGAGAACAATATCTAATTTGAAGGTATCTCTAGTGAACAGGCACATAATATGACCAAATCCATCCACTTTGCCCTTCACCATCATTTCTCAAGATAAATCTGGCACTGCGTGAGGACATGTAGTTACTTCTGGAACAAGGAGGAGAAGAAAGTCTGTTTACTGTTTATTGTATTAACTTCAGAGGCATGCTATGAATTTTTCCAAATATTTAGAATTTTAGAAGAAAATATACTTGTATAAGGTTCATTATCCAAGCCGTAGTTATTTCAAGTGATTTAAATATCAAGGTAGAATGAGGCTATATAGTGCAAATATAGAGAGGCATATCATAGAATAGTCAAAAGTAAATTAAACTATATTATCTACTGCTCTCTTCTGAATGTTTTGTATTTTCAAATATTATCTTACCAAAAATATTTTCTTGTTTTAATCCAATTTTCATTTATGCTGAGAATAAAACTGCTACAAAGCATGCACTATAACACAATTGCTTCAAATTATGCCAGTGCATATGCAAGTAGTTTGCTAAGAAGAAGAAAAATCAATGGCTATAACTAACTCTTTACAATACTTTTGTTTAAAAAAATCCCCTTTTGGTCCTGTATTTGTTTCCTAAAATAAAAAAATTTTTTAATTGGCTTACAATATTTTAACAACTACCATCATCAATTAATCTCATAGATGGCATTATTTTAGTTTTCAAATTTTGTATTTTGTATTTTTCAAAGCTATCTTCATGTCTATTGGTTAACCAAATATGTCTGTTGCCTATTTTTTTCTAAAAACCCAGGGCAGTAAGGATAATTAAGTACTTTTTAATAGAAAGTTAAATATGCATGTGCCAAAGAATGCATATTGAGACCTCAGTATAACTTTTGGGAGTTCGATCTCTCCTTCCACGTTGTATGGTTGTATGCCTTAAATATTAACATCAGGTGACCAGCCATGTGTGATAGGTTCCTTTACTTGCTGAGCCGTGTCACCAGTGATTTGAAACTCTAAAAATATATATAAATTAATATGGAATTGGGGATTTTCTTTTATAAGAACTAAGGGTATTGACTCAGCTTCAACTTCCTTCCCCCATTTCACATTGTACAATCTGTTGTTCATTTGTGGTCCTCTTTGAGAAACTGTGTTATGAATGGGTGTTTTAGAAAGACCTTCCCAAAAAATAATTATCACACTTTCAGCTGCCCAGAAAGTAGGAATTTGGTTTTTTCATGATGTTTTTTCTTTTTCCTTTTTTTGAAATGTACATTTTTTCCAGCTGTAAATGGAATTCAACCCTTAGAGATCAGAAGCTCATTTCTAGACTTAGAATATACTTTACTCTAGTGTTTCTGAGATATGTAAAAATCATTTCCCCTAAAACTCGGGAATATCTACAAGACTCCCAAACTAGGCAAAATGAAGATGATGGCCAAGAATTGAGAAGTCTTTTAATACTTTATCACTGTTATTCTTTCTGCCATATTAGTCATCTGTGGTCTCAGATTCTTGAAACATTTTCAGCACCTCAGAATTTATGGTGTGTTTTTAAGGATTTTTCTTTGTAAAATCCATTTCAAAGTCTCACTAAGAGAAAAATCTGTGACAAACAAAGAAGTTGTGGTAGCTTGAATGAGAATAGCCACCATAAATTGATATGTTTAAATACTTGTTTCCCAGTTTGTGGACCTGTTCAGGAAGGACTTTGAGGTGTGACTTTGTTGAAGGTGATGTGCCACTTGAGATGGGTATTGTGATTTCAAAACCTTGTGCTATTCCTACTGTTTTTCTGCTTCCTGGTTGAATCTAGAGGTGGAAGCCTCCTATAGTGTTCCACATGGTGTGGACTCATCCTCTGCAACTGTCATACTCTGATAAATGCTTTCTCATATAAGAAGCTCAAGTTATGGTGTCTTATCGTACCAATAGAATATTAATCAAGACAGAAGCACATTTCAAGATAAGTATTATCAGTGTTGTCCATACAAGTAAGGGAATAGTCCATAAATAGACATTTCCTCATGAAAGCAGACATCACTATAAAAAATATGCCACAAAAAAGAATTCAAAATTTGTAATATATTTATCAATACTTACAAATCATGCCTGGATAAAAACTTGAGTCCTAAGGCAGCATTTTAAGTCATCCTGAATCCCCAGGTTGCCTTAGCCAATGGGAGCATGGAGGGCTACTTGAAAAGGTATAATTCATTGAGACTTCCAAAGACCTCATGCCCAAACAACTGCCACTATGTGTCATGTTGACAGGCAGCTTCCCGGAAAGTCACACTCACCAAATTACCTCTAATTGACCTGACTCACAGGTTACTCAGAGCAAACAAAAGGCTTTACCAGAACCATTTGGGGAGATTGGCAGCAATTATGTAACATCACAGCCTACAGAGATTGTGAGTCACTCCTTAACCATCCTCCGTATATTAGTTACCTTAAAATACTCAATTTAATGTTTGTGCTTACTGTGCTTCTTTGTTTGACACATATATGATGATATAACTCATGCTGGCTTTGAACTTACTGAGTAGCCCAGTATCTCTTACACTAATGACATCCTTCTGCCTCAGCTTCCTAGGATTTGAAATTATAGATATGAAGGACTATGCCCTTATGTAGGTTAATTTATTCTTATTTTATTTGGTTAACATGTTTCCAAAAATCAGAAATGTAAAGTCTTGGCTTTTCCTCTATATAATTATTATATATTTAACATTTTCATGGTTTTTATAGCCATGGTATTTCCATTGTATAAAGTTTTTAATAAGCTTTATTTTGTTTAAACAATTTTAGTTTCCACTGCTAATCATTTTTGTCATATTTTACAGTTATTTCATTTGTATAATTTTTGGTTAAGTACTTTAAAGTATAGTTTATTCCCTCAGTCAGTAGAAAATATTGTTTCAAACTTTCCTAAACTGTGAAAAACTTTTTAAATAAAAAATTATAATTAAAGGAAAAGAAGCTATGCTTTTGAGTAGGGAAGGGATAAATGGGATGGACTGTAAGTTGATATAATTGTACTTTAATTCTAAAGTTGGAAAAATAAAAGGAATTTTGCAGTAAAATTTTAGTGAAATATTAGTCCTCCATAGAAAATGTCTAAATGTATAACTAAATGAAAACAATTGTTTCTTTTTAAATTCCTTGCAACCTTCCGAATATAAATGTTTCTCTAAGATCTTAATTTAGTTTCCAGCTTTTGCTTGTGGGTGAATCCCTTATAAGCAGAATATCCATTTGTATTTGATTTTATTCAGTTATGTGTTCAGAGATTCATCCACACATTGCTGGAAATTACTATTTGCTAATGTTGTGGTACTTTGAATGTCATTGACCCCCATAAGATCATAAGGAGTGGCAATATTAGGAAATGTGATCTTGTAGAAATAACTTTGGAGGTGGTTTGTCATTGTGGAGGTGGGCTTAAAAGTCTTATATATGTTCAAGCCATGCATAGTATCCCAGTTCACTTCCTGTTGTCTGCCAATGAAGATGTGGAACTCTCAGTTCCAGTACCATGTCATATGATGATAATGGACTCAACCTCTGGAAATGTAAGCCCCACCCCCAGGTCTTTTTCCCTAATCTGCCCTCTCCCAGGAATCCACCCTCTGACTATTTTCCCTGAGAAAAGAGCAGGCCTCCTAATGACATCAATCAAACATGGTATAGTATGCTACTACAAGACCAGGAACATCACATCAAGGCTCAACAAGGCAACCCTGTAGGAGAGAAAACAGGCAAGAGCCAGCAACTGCACTCTTATTTCCATTGTTAGGAATCCCGCAAGACCACCACGCTACTTAGCCACAGCATATAAGCAGAGGACCTGGGTCAAACCCCTACTGGCTCCTTGATGCCTGGGAATGCCCAGGAGGTCCACTGAAATGATTCTGTGGCCATGTCCTCATGGTGTCCCCTTTTCCTACAGGATTTCTCAAGCTCCTCCTGTTTGGCTGTGTGACTCTGCATCTGCTCCCATCAGTTGTTGGATGAAGTCTCTCTGGTCTCTGTGATGAGGATTCTGTAAAGTTGGTCCCAGAACACTGTGCAGGCAGGGCAAGCTCTAGGTTGAAGGTTTGGGGGCTGGTTTGGTGTCCCAATCCCTCCATTTGAACACTTACCTAGATAGAGAAGATGGCTGTTTCAGGTTGTGTTTGCCTCATTTCTAGGAGTCTTTGCTAGTGTTATCATAGTAGATTCCTTGAAGTTCCCATTGCACTAAGTTTCCATCTTGACCCTGAAATGACCGCAATTCCGGTTATTTCTCCCAGTATGTTTTCCCTTCCCCCACACTTGATCCCTCAATAATAATCAGCTGTTATTTTCTAAAACAGAGCTCGTAAGTGTACTTCAACTTCATTGGTTCTTTGTTGATTTCACATCATGCATTCCAATCCCACTTACCTCTCTGTCTCCTTGCATCTGCCCACTATGTTTGCAACCTCCCCAAAACAAAAACAAATTTATAAGAAAAACTAGGGCAAAACAAAAGGAGGAAACAAAACAAAATGAAGAAACAAAACAAACAAAAGGGAAAGAAGAGAAAAATCTTGTAGTGGAAGCTGCACCGCCTACTAAATCACACAGTTACTGTGCAGTCCATTCATCCTTACATGCCTAAAGTCATTGCTTTGGCTCGAGGCCTCTGGCTTCTGCTACACCACTGATACTGGGCTCTCACTGGGGATCCTCCTGTATATCCTATTGTTATCCTTTGTCATGGAGAACCTTATGTTTTGGATGTCCCGATTTGTCCCCTCAACTGCTCCAACAGTTCATAGATGAGGTGGGCTAACTCATAGCCCTGGTTCTCAGCCTGGGTGGTAGTTGGGTGGCTCAGCCACCAGCCTTCCCTCATCATCTCTACCCTGATTGAGCTCTCTTAGTGCTGCCTCAGCTAGCTCACCCAGTAAGACCCCAGCAAGAAGGGCCACTCCTCCTGCTCTTTGATCTGGGTCACCAAGAATCAGTTAAATGTTTACCATTTTCCTATCCATAATCCATAATGATGAGTCATTTTCTCTCTTTACTTAGCCCATCCAAAACTGTTGTAGAAATGGTTAAGCAATTTTCGTATATTTAAAAAAGTTTATGTCATTATAAGCCCTAGAATGGATGCCAGTGACTGACTCAAAACACATTTCACAGTATTTTTAAGTCTTCTGTAAAAACAATGTGAGACGAAGGTGCTTAGAATGCTCTGATGCAGGAAGGGTAGCAGTGCCATGCATTTCAGACATGCTCTGAACTCTTTAATATGTCAAATTAATTAATTAATTACATGGATATATATACATATTTAATTAATTAATTACATGGATATATATATATATGCGTGTGTGTATGTGTGAGGGCATGTGGTAGAGATCAGAGGACAACTTGCAGGAGTCTTTCTCTTGGCACTTGGATTGAGCTGAAAGGCAAGCGTTTGGAGAGAGAAGATGATACCAACTGAGCTCATTTGGATGGTTAAGAAGTGAACTTCAAGAGAAGAGTGGCATGACGATATCCGTGCCCCTTGGAAAGAAGAGATAAGGATTTTACAACTGAAAATGAGCTTTCTAACTGACAGTCAGGAAGCCTTGCACTCCCTCAGTAGGTGGGGCTACACTTCTTTCCTTGCTTTGCCTCAATGTCTCCATAGGTGTTGTTTATTTATTTATTATTTTATTTATTTATTATGCTTGTGATCTTAGTGAGATTTGAGTCACATGTCATACATCACACCCCCTTAATTAATGGTATTTAGTAAATATATTAGGGAGTAGATGTAAACACAATTAATTTGAGACCCTTTCCTCACTCAGAAACACATCTCATTCTGCTTAGCAGCACCTTCAGTCTCCATACCACAGCCACTCCTGCCCATCCTTGCAGTTAGGCCCTTCTAACTCCACACAATCAAGAATCTAATAGTTTGTCTCCATGAAGTTGCCCCTTGTGGACATTTCTTGGAAAAATAAATATACTTATCTAACCTTTTCCCTGTCTTATTTAATTCTGCATGGTGTTTTCAAAGATTATTTTTGGTATCACATTTTGTTGAGCTATTCAAATGTTGTTTTCTAGGGACTGTGTGTCTGCAACAGGGTTCTATTGCTGTGAAGAGACACCATGACTATCCCATTGCATGGAAATATGACAAGAGTGAGCTATTCCTTATAGCATGGAAAGTGATGGTCAATCTTATAGAATTGTTTTTGTACTATTAAAGCAGCTCGGTTGTACTTGCATTAAATTGCCTACTCTTTCTGCTGTGCACTGTTAACCTGAATGAATTCTTTGTGGCCCTTTGTTTCATATTCTATTATCCCACAGGCAACCTTAACACCAGATAGATTTAGTCTTCCAGGTGTGTTCAACTCCTCAGAACTGCATTAGTTCTTCTAGGTCATTTGCTTATAAACATAATCTTAAGAATACATTTGCTAACATCTATAGAAATTCACTGGAATTTTTACAGTTGTGTCATAAAATTCTTTTACCGGGACAATATGCTAAAGAATTTCTAAAATATGTTGCCAGAAATATATTACCTATTTTTCCATAAAAATGGCATGGCTAGTTCCATTATTGTTTTTTAAATACTGATTACAAGGTCAAGAAATAATTCACATGCTGAAAGCCCTTTAGTCGATTAATTTGACTCACTAATCTGTTTTATATTTTAACACTTAAGACTATACACTCATATATATGTTTGCATTTATTCATATATTTCATAGCTCTATTAGTAATGTGATGTGGAGTATAAGTCAAGTTGCAAATTGAATAAGCATAAATGTACAAAGTACAATACAATTGAAGGTAAATCAAAACTGTCATTAACTTAATTACTGAACCTGTTGACAATTTTTATTGAGTTGCTCTTTGAGTCACAGATAGGTGTCTTCGGTGCATTATGTCTTGGTTTTCTTTTGGATGATCCCCTAATGGAACTTGGAATGCAGCATAGGTAAATCCAAAACCCACATTATCTGTACAAAAGAAGAGGATAGAGGACATGCACAACATAATTTTCAAGAACATTTTAGGAATGGGGAAGATTCAAATATTCTGTTATTATTAAAACTCATACTTGTCATGCTAGCCAAGTTCCTTTGGTATTTCACTAAGTGATCACCAGATGAAAAGATATGGAATAATTCAATTTTACTTAGATTGTTTTCATAGACAAGCATTTGCAGAAGATTTGAAGACAGTATGCATTTATTTCTAGTCTATACAAAATCCACCCAGTAAAGTATCTTATTGTTCAATGGCAGAAAAAAAACACACTGCAATTTTTAATGGCTAAGCTGCTTGCCCTGGCATGCCTTTTGCGGTTCACAAAAAATATATTTCACATGAACATGAACCTGGCACTTTCCTTTATACTTAAATATCACTTTTCATCAATACCCTGGAGCAAGAACAAACAGAGAGACTTTTGCAAAAGACATAGCTCAAGAGGTACCACATACATAAAGAGATAAAATATTCAGAACATGTCCCAATTATCTTGTATATTTTTCAAGCAATAAACTATATTCTATTTTCCTTATTCAAAATACAGTTTTTGATCATGTTGTTAAATTAAATTGTTTCAAAAAACAGATTACCTCCAATAGTCACTTGTAAATTCAAATTTTCATTTATTTATTACCTTTTAAATTTAGTCAGTGTACCATTGTTTTTCGTCAATATCATGTACTTTGATTTGTACCAAGGAATTCTAGTATGTCATACCTTCAATCATACATTTGTATTTTAATATCTACAGTCATAGAAGCCAGTTGAATTGAGAAGTGCAGTTGTTTTTATCAGAAGTAACTGTGCTACTTAACACTACTGAATGGTAGAGCAGATGGCAGATTATAAATTCACCCATGCTCTTTCTTACAGAGAAGGAAATATTTCATTGATTTGTTTGTAGCCTTGAATATGCGGAATTGTTTGCCAACATAAAGAAACCAAATGCCTCTCTTTCCAATTATTTAGAAAAATCGTTTCGTTATGCTGATTTTTACCAAAGGTTAAATGTCATTTGTGCACATAACAATATTTAAGATAGGATTACAGGAAAGTAATTAATAATTTATAAGAAAATCCTAGCACAGCTAGAAAATGCCATATTTATTAATTTCTGCAGAAACAATGATGTTTCATATTTTCCTCTGATACATAAGTATTTTTGCATCTGAAATTCTACCCAACAACTCAATAGTATACAATGGGCAGTATAACTCTAGTAACTGCAATTTACTATAGACTATTCAGTGATATGCACAACCCTAGACATCAATAGAATGTTGGGTCATAAAGTCAGAAGGAAAACACCAACAAAAAGTACTATTCTTGTTTCAACTTGTAAAAGATATTACTGGTTTTTGATGAAAATGCAAGATTATAGACCCAGCTCTGCATCTTATGAAATTATATCAAGTAAAAAAACACAGATTTATTTATGTAGAGATCAAATGATTGTTATAATATCTCAGATGCTTAGCATTGCTGTGGGATATTACTTTAACCAGGCAAAGTTGTGTTACATTTGTTTACGTTGAATTTGTGTTATGTTTGATTATGCTGAATTGTTTTAACAATGTAAAGATGTGATGCTTTCCTTGCCTGAGGCACCTAGTCTATAAACTCTGAATGCCCAAAAGCTAGGCAGTAGAGGTCTAGGTGGGGCTCATGGGCAGAGAGAATAAGCAAGAGAGAATGAGGAAGAAAAGGAGAGAAGCCAAACATGGAGGAAGCAAAAAATAATAATAATAATAAGAGATACGGCATGAAAGAAAGGTTAAAAGGCCCCCAGGAAAAAATGTAGATGAAGAAGAACAGGTTAAAATATGTTATAAGAGCTAATGGGACATGCCTAAACTAAAGGTGAGCTTTCGTAACCAATAATAAATTTTTTTTGGTTTTACGAGATCCAAAACAATACAGAGAAACCAATAATAAATCTTAATAATAAGTCTCCATGTCATTGTTTGGGGACTTCAAGAAAGCCTGCTACATATAATGTTCATATTTTTGGAGTTGGGGGGGTGTGTGTGCACTCACACATGCACACACAGTTCTTTCTTAGACTTTATTTTTTTATTTTTACTTTTAAATTTAAATTTAAATTAGAAACAAGGCTGCTTCCCATGTCAATTCCAGGTTCCTCTCCCTTTCCCTCCCCTCCTCCCATGCCCTCCCACCAACCCCTCCAGTATCCCCTCATTTTTTCTTAGACTTTCACAGGCTGTGTTTGTAGATTAGCATTCACTAGCTCCCCCTCTGCCCCTGTACTTTGAAGGGTTACATTGATTGTCAAATTAACTCATGTGGAGAGACCGGTCTTTTCCAGGAACAAAACTTATTGGCAAAGATAGAGAAACATGAAGAGATACATCCTGAGTCTGTCATCTAAACTCTTCTATATTACAATAAACTGCACAAAATAGAGCTGGGAACAAGGTAGGCTAAGCTTTGACAGCTTCTATTATTATGACTCAATAGCTATATAGCTAAAATTCCTATTATCATATACTTTTTACCTGACTGTGTGTGTCATAAGTACACACATTGCAAATTTACTAATAATAACTAACTGAGAATGAATAGGTGTGTTTTTTCTGGAAGCATTATCAAAAAAAGAAATATATAAAGAGCAACACATTAGTATCTCAGAGTCATATTTTAGAAAATTCTGACAGTGTTCCTGTAAGATTGCTGCTTGGCTGTTAAAACATGTCCTGAACATCTGAGGAGCAGGGACATCTTAAATATCCATTGTTAAACTGCTAAGGCAAATTATATGGGTAACTGACGTGTTACATTGATTATACTTAATTGGTTTCAGGATGTAAAGATATGTTGCCTTCCTTGCCTAAGGAAATCTGGGAATGATCTGCCCTGAAAGCATACATATATGAAGTGAACATTTATAATTAGTACACACATATATATATATGCATGCAATAACTGTTAGAAAAAATCAAGAGGCCATGAATGTAAGAGTGTGTAACAGTATATAGGAGGGTTTGGATGGAGAAGAAGAAACGTAAAAATGCTATAATCAAATTATAATCTCAAAAATACTAATAAAGAAAAGGACCAATAAGTGAAAAGGGAAAGTGCTGGAACTGTACCATGTCTCTGCAGCCACAGAGCTTATAATGCTAGTAGTCTCAGACTATCACACACAGTTCTGTATAAAGTTTATCTCAGAAATTCATGGGGATAGTTCAGTAAGATGTATACACGCATGATCTAGTTTCAGTCTGTTGTTGTAGCAAATACTGTGACCAAAGCAACTTAGAAAAGAAGTATTTATTTTGTTTGTATTTCCTTGTCAAGGACTATCCCCAACAGATATCAGGGCAGGAAGCTAAGAGGTTGCAAACAGAAACTATGGAAAATGCTGCTTCCTGGCTTGCTTACTCACAGGCTTGCTCTTCGCAAGCATTTTCATACAGCATAGGGCCACCTGTTTATGGATGGTGATGGCCATGCCCTCAATGTGCTGTTTATCTTTATATCAGTTAACAATCAAGACAAATCTTTTTTTTTTTGTCAAGACAGGGTTTCTCTGTGTAACAACACTGACTGCCCTGGAACTCACTCTGTAGGTCAGATTGGCCTTGAAGTCACAGAGATCCACCTGACTCTACCTCCCAGGTGTTGGGATTAAAGGTGAACAACACCACCACCCATCAAGACAATTCCTTCCAAGAAATGACCACTTTTAATTTGACGTGGACAAGTCATCAATAGAGACTTTTAAAGAGACTTTGTGCTATATCTAGTTGACAATTAAAGCTCTCTACACATATATTCTATGCGTATTATACTGTTTATTGTTAGAAATATTTAGAAATGTCCTATTTTACACCAGTTACTGAAGATGAACATAGAAATGAGGCAATATACCAATATAGGAGAATAATAAATTTTCATGTTAAATCTAAAACAAATGTCCAAGTCTCCCCTGACATCCAGGACCAGTGCCTTCAGCACTCGTGATTGGAGGTGGGGGTACTACTGACATCTAGTGGACAGAGGCCATCGATGCTGCTGAACATCCTACACTGTACAGTCAAGTCCCTCCCAAATAACCAGGATGGCAGCACTGTTGGGGTTCAGAAATACTAACTCAAACACAGTGATCACAGCTACATTGCACTACAGAGAGAAGATCTCTCTGAGGAAATGGCCATTAAGTAAAAATGCAAAAACTATATAACAATAAAAGGAGCATAGAATGATATGAACTTTGGTTTCTAAGAGAGAAACCCATCCAGAGCTCTGGCTGTGGTGAAAATTCTGAATAACATTAAACAAGAGTTAGAAATCCCTTGACAGTTCTTAAAGAGAAAGATTATCTGATTAGGTATACGTTGAAATAAAATCACCATACTTACTGTACTTTTTAATGCACTGTGAAATAAAAAGGCAGCACAGTTTAGCATAATGAGCTGAGTGACAGATGAAGTTACCTGGGCATGCAGTAGCATAACACAGTGGAAGAAAAGTGAAGAAATCTTGTAGATATTTGTGAGGAAAACTGTAAGGTTTAGTGATTGATTTGGATGTAAGGTTTATACAGATAAATCAAGTTACTGATGTATAAATTTGGTGTGTGCCATCATAATGCTTTTACTGGGTTATAGCTCAAGTTTGGAAAAGTTAAAGGGCTATGTTAGGCACATAGCATTTGCAAATCCTGCTTAATCTACATGCTAAATGTCAAACACGCAAAGGAAAATACTGAAGTAAAATTCAGGGAATTTGGTTCTAGAGAACCTTCTAGAAAATGAACAGCTTGTTGTCATTGTAAGAATAAAGTGAAAATATAGAACAACATGAGAAGAAAAGACAAATGTCAACAATGCAGGCCTTAGAATTTTCAGCATTTGTGGTTCTGGCCCTGTGGGGGGGTGTGAAAAAATATTTGGATCAAAGAAAATATGTAGAAGAGGCTGTGGCCTGCAAAGAAA